CTATCAAGTTGACACATAAAATCTACCATCCCAAACTTAAGAGAGTTTTCAATACCTCAAAGGCAGCTCAGGTCCTATTAAATCAGATAACCCCAGAATCTTTTTTGCCCATTTCAAAGTTTCCATCAGTTTTCCTGATGTTTCTTTCTATATTAGAAGATCAAGACCAACCTCTTGTCTGAACCCTTGGTCTGGACCCTGCCTCCCCTCTGGGCTTATCCGAGGCCCCCCTGGCCCCCCAGCTAACTGCATTCAGGTCCTATGAGCCTCTTTAACATCCTCAGGGTGCCAAGTCTCCTGCCATCCATCCTGCTGCCCAGATGCACATTGTTCCCTCTGCTGCAGGAGTGTTCCTCTGCGCCCTCCACCTTCCCGCCCAATTCACTACTTACATCCTCCCACTCCAATCTGAGCTCAAACCCAGTTTCCTCAGGGAAACTCCCTCCTCACCCCAACCTTCATCAGAGTTCCTTCAGAGATTTTACTGTGATAGGAATTACAGTGTGAATATGTTTTATGTAAATTTGAACTTTACAATTTTAAAATAGCACAGGCTAAAAATATTAGTAAAATCTCTCTTTATGTTCAAACTTTGAAATAATACAAATCTCCCAAATTAAAAATAAAAGAAAAAAAAATCCCTCAGGACCACACAGTTTGAGCTGCATTTCCAGCGACTTGTCAGTAGTGTTTCCACTCTTGCCCTGGGGGAACCTCTCAGTAACTGGTAGATAGGAATACCCGAGGAGACCGCACATTTGCTGTGGAATTGCTGACAGTGCTTTTGATCATTATGTAAGCATAGTTGTTATGGCACTTGTGGGAAATCAGAACGTACCACCCTAAAAGATTCCACTTTGGCATATGCATTATTTTAACTTGAAGATGACTGAGAAACAGCAGACACCAAACTCTCCACCCTCCACTCTTTTGTACCATGAAGGGCAAAGGGATCTTAATACTGGAGACTTTTATCAGAATCAACACAAACAAAGCTTATCAACACAACACTTATCTTCCATTAGTCTCACCCATGTACTCACCTTCCCACAGTTGGCCACCCCAAAAGCCTCAACTCCTTTTCCTTTTCTTGTCACTTCTCTAAAATTTATTTTCTTGTTAGACACTAGATAAGCCCAAGTCCTAACAGCCCCTTTGAGCTACGTGGCAATGAGTTTCCTCTGCCTGTATTTGTACTGCATATGTTAATAAATTCTTGTTAATCTCTTGTTTTTCTCTTGTTAATCTGTCTTTGTCAGTTTAATTTCCAGCGTCCCAGCCACAGACTGAGGAGGGTAAAGTTTGTTTTCCCCCTCCCCTACACGCTCTTTGTTATTATACCTTAAATTTTTCTAGAAGCTCTAATGATATTCTCCAGTAGCACTGCTGAGGCTGAGGGTAGAGCTGGAAATCTTGTCTGTTACTGTGCTTGGAAGGCCAGTTCGCAGAACTGGTGAATGAAATTCTAAATGTCAGGAAGGAATGAAGCCAAAAAAAATTTAAAAAGCACATTAGGGCAAATATGAGCTACTCTGGCCTTCAATTTTTATTCCTGTGCCTCACTGCCCTGGAATTATTTGAGTTTTGAATTATGTTAGGCCTTCAGGGACACAGCTCCTAAATAAGATGCTATAACCCTGTGTATATTTGTGAGATTATTTGACAAACATATTGACTCTCTAAGTCTATCTGCTTGTTCACCATTTTTTTCTGACCGGCTCCTAGCACCAGAGCCGGGTAGGGAGGGGAAAAAAACCTTTTCCTCTACCCTCTTATGTTCCTTTACCGAGACCCGTGAATTAAACTGACAAAAGAAAGGTGACTAGGAGAAAAAGATTTATTTTGTGTGCATATGGGAGCCAACAAAGGAAGTAACTGGCTCATTGAATGGTTAAAGACTTACATAGCTAATTTAGTAGGAGAAAGGGAGGGGGTGAGAAAAGGTATTTTAGGGGAAGAATTTATGGCAGCCTTATTTCCCAGGAGGTCCTGCTTTTAGTCAGAAAAGGGAAGCTCTGAGAAAGCTGTTTTTCTTTATTTCCTTTTTTTTTTTTTTTTTTGTGGCATCTGTTGACTCTCAAATGTCTTCAGCTTAAAAATAATCTTTATGCCAAAGTGACATGTTTTGGGGTGGCATGTTCTGATCCCCTTCAACTGGAAGACACAACATTTCCCCTATTTATTCGCTTCAGGGTCTTATATACTCTAAGTATATGATCCATACCTTCTGTTGTCACCTCTTCTGTGCAGATGCCCTTGACCCTGAGTCCCATGACAGATTAGAATGTGATGGGGGAGACCAGCCAGATACTCAAAAACAACTGTAAGAGAGCAGACAATTCAGTACACTGCTGCTTCGGGATTTGGGGGTATGGGTTTTTCCAGGAATTCTCAATGCTCTGAAAAGCCAAGTTCCTCAGTTCGCTTTCCAGGGGCTGGGAGTGGGGTCTGGGATGCCTGCAGAAAACCTCTTAGCAGTTCTCCTGCAAACGCTCCACAGGAAACTGGACTTGACTTCTAAAGCTGGCCCCTTTCCAGAGGACGTCACTCTCAGGACTTTTTTTTTTTTCTTTCACAAAAGAACCTGTTCTTGTGGATGTGGAGGGGCCGGGCTGCGAGAAGAAACCCGCTTTGCCAGCTCCGGGCCTGTGCCGGAGCCCAAGGAGCAAGGTTGGCCAGTGGCCGGCCACGTCCACGTCCAAGGGCAGGAGGGGGCCGCCAGCCTCCCACTGGCCTCCTGCAGGACACAAGAAAGGCTTGAGGCAGGAACAGGGGGTGGAGGCCAAGTGCGAGGGCAGCCTTGGCCCTGAGGCAGGGCGTGGTCAGCCTGACCGGACCTGAGGCTGGCTGATGATTAATGGGGAGTCTGCGGCTCCAGGGCCCTGGTGCACAGCCCGGCCTGTGACGTGAGCGACTTCCTGGTTACAGGTGAGAGCGGTCCGGATTCTCCGTGGCTGAGAGATTTGTTCCTGTCTTTCTGTGGGGAGAGCTCAGAGGCAGGAGAGGGGCCTCTGGGGACCGCAGTACCTTCCCTGAAGCCCCAACGGGCAGATCCACCTGTCACAGGTGAGACACCGCGTGGGCCTGGTGTGTGGCCCGCGGACTCCCCGCAGGTACCCGCTTCCTCCTGGGGAGCCGGTACTCAGCCCCTGGCAGGCCGCTTGCTGGTCTGGGGTGGGGTGGGGGGAAGTGCTGGACGATCCAACACGTATCTGTTTCCCAAATTCCACAGAGTTAAAAATTAAAAGATCGGGCTGCTCTGCGAGCTTAGGAATTTGAGATGATTTCTAATCAAGCTTCACAGGGAGCTGTTCTCCGAATGTGTTGAAAGCCGAGACTCGCTGGAATTCAGAAGGTCTGGATTCAAAGGCTGGAAAATTCCTGGCACTCCCGTTATTCATTGGACAGACTTTAAATGCCATTTATTCTTCCCCAATGAGAGGCCTGATGGAAAGGAAATTTCTCTAAACCTCTGGAAGTTCTAAGACTCCCCACGCCTGGCAGGCAGGGGCAAGGCACCTCCGAATACGAGGGCGCCCAGAGCTGGGGTACTGGGGTGGAGGAGGGGACCTGGTGCCTTTGTATGTGGACATAGAGGTTTGTGGAGAGCCCCTTGTGTACATTTAAATTCCCTCCTGTCCTACCTGTTTTGGGGTTTAGGATTTATGCTGATGCCTAAAAACAGGATGTCTGCAGCCTCTGGATTTTATGATTTCAAGCTTTTCCCAAAAACCCAGACATAAGGGTTTGTGTGTGTGGGTAAATAAGTGAAATGATCGCATCTGGCAATTTTCTTCCTGAGATGACTGGCTTGGTGGGTGCAGACGGGTCTCCTGAGTGTTTCTGCCTTGTCTGGGCAGTAGGAAGTGGTTGTGATTTAAATCCTGTCTTGATGAAATTTTCAAAAATATTTTTATGGGGGTGTAGCTGATTTACAATGTTGTGTTAGTTTCAGGTGTACAGCAAAGTGAATTTGTTATACATATACCTATATCCACTCTTTTTAAGATTCTTTTCCCGTATAGGTCATTACAGTGTATTGAGTAGAGGTCCCTGCGCTATACAGTAGGTCCCTATTAGTTATCCATTTTATATATGGTAGTGTGTATATGTCAATCCCAATCTCCCAATTTATCCCTCCCCCCAGGTAACCATAAGTTTATTTTCTACATCTGTAACTCTATTTCTGTTTCAATGCAATTTAATAAGATTTAAGATTTTTGAAAGACTTTGCAGTTTTTCAACTAAAAGTAGATAATCCAAGTCTTCTGTAACAAAATGAATGAGAAGTAAAATCTACTCCATAGAGATATGAACTTGCAAATTACCTGGCAAAGCCTTCCTTTAATTAAAGCAAACTCTCTGAGTTCAGTTACAATTTGGAATCAATTTGGTGACAGTTCCTTCCTGTACACACCCTTCAAAAAATACTGTCCCCTCAAGATCTACATCTGGGTTCCTGTAGCACTCGGGGTGTTCCTACGTGCCCCCGCCCGGGGGGTTCTTCTGGGCTCTTAGAAATGGACTCGTTCCATCACACAGAGAATAAGTGAGTTAAGTAATCTGGTGCTAGTCTGCAGCCTGGCTGACTGGACAATCAGGGACTAGAAGCCTTTCCTAGTGGACCTTAAGCTCATTCTGCAGTTTCAGTAACGCTGGGTCCGCACTTCCCATTTATTGCTTTCAGGAAAATGTGTGACTTTTATAACTCGGCAGCTCAATCTCTCCTCCATCCTCCTCTTGAGCCTAGATTTCTAGGTGACTCGTAGAGCGATTGACTGGTCCACTTGTGTTCATCGAAACTTGAAAATTAGTAAATGATTTATTTGGCGCTTGGTAATTTGGGATCTTGGATCCATCTGGGAAGGCCATGATTTCAGTTTGGTTTGTGTTCAGCTGCTGGACAGCTTGGTATCAAGGCGTATTTGTAGGGATTTACTGATTCTTTTTTAGATGATGTCAGGAGCTGAGTAGCTTGGTGGGAAGGTCCTGCCGCACGGATGCTGGGACCCTTACATTACACACACGAGCAGTTATGGTTTACTATACAGGCTGAATTTTGCTTTCCAAAGACATCAGAAAACAGAGATAGAAACCCCACGTTCCTGCTCGTGAGCTGTGAGCACCCCGTGCTGCACTTACATGTAAAGTGGGGTCACGGGCCGGGCATCCCCGCTCCCTCACACCCCACTCTATTTGATTCAGCAGCTTGTATGAGGTGCTCTCTGAGGGAGCAGGCGAGGCAGCTCTTACCTGTGTCTGTTTCAGTTATTGTATTTCGGCTTGTGGGTTGTGGTGGCCTATGTCCTGTTAGAGACAACGATATGGAGCCCGGGGGGTGTGGCAGGCCATCGCAGAATCCCGTGCAGGCTCGCATAGGGAACACGCTGCCCCCTGATTTGGGGGGAAGGGATGTATCCCCGCCAGCGGAGCTGTGAAATCAACGTGGAGGCTAAAGCCAAAGTGAAAACTCCCCGCAGCTCGGGTCGCTGTGCTAAGGACGTGTGAAATAAAGAAACCCCTTCCTGGGTTTTTTTTTTTTTTTTTGCGGTA